TGTAATTGAAGTTAGAACATATATTAATTGAGCATGAAATCGGGAGTTAGAAACAAGAACTTCTTAGGTCAATTTCTCAAGAGTTAAAAGCAAGAATTTCTTAGGTCAATTTCTAGAACACCATTCAACCCAATTTAGTGAATTTAAGGTTTTTGATCCTTTTGTTTATTTGATGAATTAATATTTGATTGGATGTTATTTAAGTATGAAATGATGATTTAGCATGAGAAATTACGTAAAAATAGAAATTAGGAGGGCTCTATGTGTCGTGTGTATCATTGATGCGGTTATAAGGTGGACCTCTTACAAACGATAGTTATTTCGGTGCTCCATGTTCCGATTTATTTTCCGGGTATGGCTTCTTCTTTTATATGATAGTGAAGACCATAAAGAAATGAGTAGCTAGCTAGAAAGGAGATGGATGTAAATAGATAGTAAGACATTTTTATTGTAGGTGGCATAGAACCGGTACATGTAAATTAAAAATAGTTGTATATTAATAGAATTATCGATAGTCGGATAGTAGTATAGACATAATTATTGTAGTCTTCTTTAAATTGATTTCGACATATAGTATTAATTATATAATAAGAAAGAAAAAGTAATAAGAAAATAATTATAATAAGTAATAATTAATGAGGATAAAAAGAATTAATTATCGAATAATGGTCAATAATTAAAAAAATTTATACATGCTAATAGAAAAGGAATTTCGGAAAACTAAGCATCATAGATCCAATCCATTCGGTCTAAGCAATTTTAAAATTTGAAGACTCGATGATTCATCCATCTATTAATTACCTAATTAAAGTAATAGTTATTTAAATAATATTCAACATTAAATAAGTCTAAAAATTACCTAATTAAACTAATAGTTATTTAAATAATATTCAACATATTCAACATTAAATAAGTCTAAAATTTAATTACCAAAACCTAAAAGATAAAAACTTAACGAGATAAATATGAGTCTAAAATCTACTTCCACAATTTTAGATTTAATTAACATTAAATACTAGGCTAAAATAAAATTTAAAAGTCGAGAGAAATTAAAGGCTAAGCATTAAACTAAATAAATTGAAATAAATGTGCAAAAGGAGTTCAAAAATTCTAAAAAATCTAAATCTAAATTAGAAATAAAATAAGAAGCATGCACAAAAATTTGAAATTTTTTTTTCCTAGGGAAATGGCCAAAAACAAATATGGGTTATTAGGCTTTTGAGTTTAGTGGGCTTTGAACCCATTAGGCCAAGACCACTAGGCAAGCCTATTGTCCAAACTAAACAAGACCAAGCCAACAAGCCCAACCCAACCTAAATAGTAGCTAATCCCATTCTAACTAAACATGCCCGACCTAACTAAAGCCCAAGATATCCGACCTAAAACTCGAACCCAAAACACATTCACTCTCATTCAACCCCAAATTCATTTCACCTCATTTTCTCTCTAAACCACATTCATCTCTTCTTTTTCTTCTTCCTTACCAGTTCCTTTTCTCTTGTTACCTTTTTGTGTCAAACACCAAATCAACATACTCCCTCCGTTATTAAATTAAACCCATTTCAAACCATCAATATTTTCCCACCTTTCATTTCAATGTTCATTGAACGAACTCAAACAAACAAAGGAAATAGGTCAACTAGGTATTTAATTATCATTTATTCTTAAGTAAATTGATAGCAAAATCAAGTCAATTCAAGCTATTGAAGGATCATGTATCCTCTAGAGATGCGAGAATAAAACCAAAATTTCCTCTATCTAAAAGGCTCAAGATCATTCCATTAAATCAACTAACTATATATTCATGAATTAAAACAATGAATTCTTGTAGTGTAGATATAAACCTTTGTAGAAAAGAGTAGCCCAAGTGTCTAGCCTCTATCGATAATCCACGCAGATCCAAATATCTATAAAAGAAACACTTAAAATTGGTAGGATGCTAGCTCCACCTTTTCCGACTTATTTAGGGTTTCCTATAGAAATCTAATCATGGTAATTTTGTGACAACCCAAATAGAGAGAGAAGAAAGGTATTGTGCTAGGGTTAGGGAGAAAAAAATTTTCTCCTAACTTTTATTTTGACTTGTGTGTCCTCTTTATTTTATGTGTGTCGAATTTTTCCTCTCTTAGTCTATATATATTTATTGTAGCACCTCTCCTCCTATTTATAGGGGAGAGTTTCCTTGTCCTCTAAGGACAAGGAGAGGGGGTGGCAACTAGTCCTTATTAGACCCGGGTTGTTGCTTTCCTAATCCTCTAAGGACTAAGAGTTATTTAACATGTGGGCTTTTGATCTTTATCTATAAAACAATCATGTTTATCCAATAAGGTTCAAGTTTATCCTCCTATCAAGATATGTTTTAGGTTTTTAATTAAATGTATTGACCTAAAACCATTTTCTCCTAATTAATTAATTTAGACTATTCAAATAAATTAAGTTAGATAATTTTAAGAGGCCCACATTATGAAACAATTTTTTAAAATACCCTTAAACCTAAATCGGAAACTTATTTCCATTTTAGGTTATTTACTTCCAAGTTTGGAACTACCTTCTAAATTAGGAAACTGATTTCTAAAATAGGAAACTTTCCTTTCCATTTTAGGAAACTTCCATCTTAAGAAACTTTCCATTTTAGAAAACTTTTCATTTTCGAAATCCTTTTTCAAAATAGGAAACTTTCATAATTAATAACTTTTTTTTAACATATTTTCTTCTCTTTAAACATGTGAATGCTTAAAGTTATGCATGTGACTCAATAGGCTTCTAGATATGTTGGCCAATGTCTTAAAAATAAAAGACACCTATTTTATCTCTTGATACATAAGTCAAGATTAGCATCTAGCAAGATATCATGACTATCTACTTCTCCGGGAGGATTAATTAATCCATAATTACCTTTCACGAGCATCGTTACTATACAATTCGAGTCCTCATATCAACTTATCATAGTGTGATCCCGAACTTGGTTATTAGTCTTGTTCGATTATGATCACACAAGTTTTCTTTGATTCTCAAATGTCTTAGCTCGTAAGTAAACCAACTATGCTCTATTGATGTACTCCTACTATGGCCATAGATTTCTTAAATAAAAATTTATCAAAGTATAATATGATAACTCATTTAGCATATAAGGAATGACATATCTTATCTTATTCATCCACTTAGCTCTATTAGATTCCTAGTGAACCTAATGAATTACCCACGTGTAACCTTTTATTGGGTCCATCAAAACGAGTGTCGAGTACATAAATCCTCTAATGAGATAACCATGATGACTTCAAGTCTAAAGATTAGTTGTACTCATCCTATATAAGATTCCCATAGACTAAACCACATGGGTTCTCATAGTGAGTCAAGTCCTATGATATGTTCTCTAAAATAAATCACCTAAGTGCTTGCTTTGACATCACCATGCCAATAGGTGCGAGATCTCTTACTGCTTATCATATCGTATGAGCTTAACACTCATAAGTCTAACCGCATCTAGTCAATATCCATTCTTGATAATGCTATGACTTAGGATATTTAATGATACTCGTTTATGTGCATTAATGTTTATTTCACATCTTTCAATCAATCACTATTGCAAATGCGTATCATAAGGAGTTTTATCTAATTCTACTGAATTAATGAACATAAAACATAAGAATTAATAAAAAGACTTCTTTATTATTAATAAAATAAATAATGCAAAAATACAATAACTCAAACATATCCAAACATGATTGGATCTTTAGCACCTACGCTAACAATCTCTCACTTACACTAGAGCTAACCAACTATATCCCTTAATCCCGATGATCGAGTAAGGGTCTCATATTTTAGTTATGACAAAGGCTTAGTCAATGGATTAGCTATGCTATCATCGGTGTAGACCTTTTCTATCCTTATGTCACCACGATCGATAATCTCTCTTATCAAATAGTAGTGTAGCAATACATGATTGGACTATTGATAAGACCTTGGTTCCTTAGCTTGTGTTATAGCTCTATTGTTGTCATAATACACTAATATTAGATTAGTAATGCTAAGAACCACTTGTAATCTAGATAGAAATTTACAAATTCAAATAGCTTTTTTAGCTACTTCGTAGCTATAATATATTCAACTTCGATTGTTGAGTCGGCCATTATTTCTTACTTAGAACTCTTCCAACTAACGACTTCACCATTCAATTGAAAAATGAATCCCGATCGTGACTTAAAGTCATCATGGTCGGCTTGAAAACTAGTATCGATAAACCCTTTCATCACTAGTTTATATCTTCCATAGATCGGGAAAGCATTTTTAATTCTTCTTAAGTACTTAAGAATGTTTTTAACGATAATTCGGTATTTTCACTTGGATCAACTTGATATCTACCGTATATGCTCAAAGCATATGAGACAACAAATCGTGTACATAACATGGCATACATAATAGATCCTATGGATAGCGCATAGGGAATGTGACTCATTCTTCCCCTTTTGTTTTGTGTGTTGGAACACTCAGCCTTAGAAAGTTTTATGCCATGTGACATTGGAATAAGTCCTCTCTTGGATTCTTCCATGCTAAACCTCTTTAGCATTTTATCAATGTACATGCTTTGAAAGAGTCCTAACATTCTTCATGATCTATCTCTATAGATCTTGATTCCTAGAATGTAAGTTACCTCTCTCATATCTTTCATGGAAAAGTTTTTAGATAACAATCTTTTATAGATTGCAACTCGGGGTGAGCAAATGGTTTAGTTAACCAAAAATCGAATTAAACCAAATCGAATTATGAAATTTGGTTTGGGTATAAATTAAAACATGTATAATTTAAACCAAATCAAAAAAGCTGAAATAATTTCGATTCGATTCGGTTTTTTTTTTAAGAAACGATTTGAATCGATAACTATTTTTTTTATTATTTCTAATTCTAATTTCTAAATACCTAAGAATAAATTATAACCCTAACTCGGTAACTCCCTCTCCCTGTCTCCCTTAGCTAACTCTTTTGACTTTCCTTTCCTTTCGATGCGGACGAAGTCATACGACGAGTCGAGTGCCCAACATTCCAAGCAAACCGAAGAACAAGCAAACTCGGTCACTCTCGTTCTCATCTCTCACACATTTGGTTCACGCCTACTCGCCTTTTGGTTGCTTGCGTCTGCTCGCCTACGGTGCGTCCGGTGTGTCTACTTCGCCTAGTGCCTTCGGTTGCTCGCATCCGGTCCGATGAGTTTGGTGCATTCTTTTTATTCTTGAGTTTATTAGTTTTAGATGAGTTATTTACTTTCCTTGCAATTTTAGACTTTAATTTGTTATTTGTTGGATGATTAGGATTGGTTGTATTACGTCGGATAATGTAGCAAATTTCGGAGAAGATTTCACACGCACATTTAATGCGGTATTGTAAGATCCGTGCCTAGAACAATTCGGAAAATCAGTCGAATGCCATTAGATCGAGCATAGAAGTCCTAGGGTGATTTCAATGTCTCTAACTTAGGCAATCTTGGTATTTGTCAAAATGGTGGCCAATTAGCCAAAATTTAAGTCATTTATTTCCATCACTTAAGAGTTATTTTTGTATTTTTAAATCGTGTTATAATTTTTTCCATCTCGGCTTAAACATATTTATTCTCGTAGGTGCTTTGGATATCCGATGATGGTGTTCCAGATTTAGGAGGTAATTGTGAAAAATCTACATGTTTTGATGATGAGGTTAGTTCCAAATAGTTGCAAACAAAATTAAGAAAACCCCTAAATTATTAAAATCTTGAGATCGTTATGTTTTCCTTGGTAAGAAAAGTGGAACTTATTTCCGGGAAGCTATGAGATTTTTTAATTTCTTTAGCGATACTTATATGTTTCTTTTGTTGTTGTTTGTTAACTTACTAGTTGTTCTAAAATAGGTCTAACAACTTCGTTCTAACATACCCTGGAGCATATAGGAAAGTTTCGTGGAATTAAAGGTTCGAGTTTTTTTTCTTCTTTTTTTTTCCCCTCATTCTCTCCTTTTCTTCGGGGTGGGGCATGTGATCCGGCGAGATGCTAATTGGCCTTGATTGTCAATAACCAAGAGTAAATTTTTTTTTATACAAATACATCACACAGTCTGTAGATGCTCTTCCGAAAAGTAACCAAGTAAATGAAATGGAAGGAGGTGCTTTGTTAGGATTTAATCGGGATATGAATTACAATGCAAATCTATATAATGATCGAGTGGCTTCGATGAGGTGACCTCATCCGCATCCGGAGTATGTGTCCCGAAACAGTCGATTTAAAGATGCCTTGTAAATACGGATACATCCGGAAATGTTTTTATCGATGCAATTTTACAACACCTATATCGTTGGCTTTGTAGGTTGTAGTGCTATAATTTATAACATATACCTTTTATTTTTGGCTTATTTATTCATTACTTTTGCTTTAATGTCGTAGCCCTCAATCAAAGCTTCATGATCCAGACTCTTCACCGTATACTCCATAAGGTAACTCGCTACTTCACTTGGATATTTTTATGTCATAAGAATAATATCCCACCATAAGATTTAGGTTGTAAGGAGTCAATGCTATTATAGTCTTCTACCCTCTTTTAAAACTTATTGTGATAGCTTGCTTAAAACTTTTCAAAATAGTTTTGTTATGACCAAGGATTATTAGATAAATCTTCCTTTCGCTCTTCCTTCTTGTAATTTGTGATTCCTTGCCGACTTGTAGAGAACTGTTTGAGTGGGTTGAGCTTAAACCGTTGAAGTTTTGGCATTCCTTGCTCTTTATGGATCGAGTTTGTTAAGACAGTTGTGATTGATCACTCGTTTATTGTCGTTGACACTTTATGCAACCAAAAAGTTATATATATACAACTTTAGGTAATGTTTTGGTAGAAGAATTGTAAATAAACGTGATAAGACTCCATATATTTTCAGCATTCGATGTGCTACCGAAACTTTTAGAATTCAACTCTTTCAAAATGTGTGTTGTACAAACTTTCAATTGTATTTGGTGTATTATCTTTTTCTAATTTCAGCACTATATGGGAAATTTTAGTGCTATTATTTTTCCTTGTTTTTGTCAACTTTCAATGGACTTTGAATTTTGAATTCTTCTATCATTTATATAAGACTTTCTAACATTCCCCTTCCCGTATTGTATTCTATTGAATTCTTGCACTAGAAGAGCCGCACAAAAAGTTGCTCTTACATGAAACACAAGTAATAAGACAAATGACATGTAAACCATTTTAACATGTACTATTACATTTTTTAATAGTAAATTAGTTTCGATACCATAAAAATAAAAATTGTTCACGGGAACAAAAGTTTAGTTATAATCGAATTATTTTGATATCGAATCGAAATAATTCCGTTACAAACCGAATTAATCGAATTTAATTTGGTTCGATTTTGGTTTTCATTTTTCCCAATTTGATTAATCGAAAACCAAATTGAATTAAGCTTAACCGAATCGTTTAATCATTTGCTCACCCCTAATTGCAACATAGTAGTGTTATTGTCAATAAGTAATATATCGTCCATAAATAGCATAACAAAAATAATTGAGCTCCCACTAACCTTCTTTATACACAAGATTCATCCTCATTTTGTGAAATGTCAAACTTTTTTATCATTTCATCAAAACATTGATTCCAACTCCTCGATACTTGCTTAAGTCTACAAATGGATTTTTATAATTTACAAATCTTATTTGTATGTCCTTTGGTGACAAAACCATCGAGTTGTATCACGTACACATCCTTATTTAATTTTTTATTAAGGAAAGTGATTTTGACATCCACCTATCATATCTCATAATCGTGATATGTAGCAATCATAAGCATAGTTCGAATGGATTGAACCGTTGGTGGTAGTGAAAAAGTTTCATCATAATTAACTCTTTATTTTTGATGATATCCTTTTGCCACCAATCTTGTTCTATACATATGTACATATCCATCCATTTCTCTTAAAAATCCACTTATATCCAATGGGTTTGATACCTTCGGGTGGATCAACCAAAGTCTATACTTGGTTAGTAACATAGATTCCATTTCGGATTGAATGGTATCATGCTATTTTTTGAAGTCAATGTCTAACACTTCCTTTTCATAGGTATTAGGTTTGTTATCTCATTAATAGACACATTTTCATGTGTAGAGACTAGAAGGTAATATCTTTCCGGCTTTTGGCAAATCCTCTTAAACTTACGAAGTTCTTATGTATCGGCTTGTGGGATAGTTATAACGCTTAGTAACTTTTCTACTTGGGGTCTTTTTATGAAGTGTCAATTTTTGAGTCTTCTCAAATCTCATCAAGTTCAACTTTTCTCTCACTCGATCCCAGCATCTATATACTCCTTCTTAAGGAACACAAAATGCCTATCCATAAACACTTTTTATTCATGTGGCTAGTAAAAGTAATATCCATTTGTTTCTTTTGGATATTCCATAAATATACACTTTGTTGATTTGAGCTCTAACTTGTCTCTGTCTAAATGTTTGACATATGCTTCACAGACCTTAAATCTTACGGAAAGATAAATTTGCTTTTTTTCTTTTCATATCTCATATAAAGTCTAATCAACAAACTTTATTGGAACCCCGTTTAAATTAAATGTCATATAAGGAGTGCATATTCCCAAAATGAAATAGGGATATCGGTTTGATTCATCATGGATCGGACCATGTCCGACAATGTACTATTTCTCACTTCATACACACTAATCATTTATGGTATTCCAAGCGGGGTCCATTACGAGAGAATCTTATTCTCCTTTAAATGATCAAAAAATTCAGTGCTTAAGTATTCTCCACCTTGATCCGATTGAAGTGCCTTAATACTTTTGCTCGTTTATTTCTCGACTTCAAACTCGAATTCTTTAAACTTTTCAAATGCTTAAGATTTGTGTCTTATCAAATATACATAATCAAAATGCAATCTATCATCGGTAAAGATTATGAAATAATCATATCCTCCTCTTACTTGGATGGACATGGTCCCACATATATCACTATGTATGATGCCTAATAAATCAGCGAGCTTTTAAGTTTTACACTAAAAAGGAATTTCGTCATTTTACTAAGTAGACAAGATTCACATACATCATAAGATTCATAATCAAATAATTTTAGATATCTATTTTTATATAGTTTGGATATGTGATTCTCGTTTATATAGCCAAGACAATGCCACATATAAGTTTTGTTTAGATCATTAGTCTTGCTTCTTTTCAAATTTATGTCATACATAGGTGTGTCTATGTTTACACATAAATCATTATTTATTTCAGCATTTCCATATAAAACATCTTTTTTATAAAAGAAATAACCTTTGCTCTTAAATAAAAATGAAAAGCCATCTTAGTCCAAACAAAAAATTAAAACGATATACCTTGTTCTACTAGGAATATAATAACGGTTTATGAGTGTAAGCACAAGTTCGGATGGTAGTGCTAACTCATAGGTGCTCGATGTTAATGGTAAAACTCTTGAACCATTACCTACGCGTAGATCAAACTCACTTGAAGTGATTTTTCTTGCTTCTTTTAGTCTTTTCAAATTTGTGTAAATGTGTTCACCACATCCAAGTAGAAATACCCATGATGTTGGACTAAAAGTAAAAACGTTCACTCAATGCTTTCAGAACTCTTCTTTTGCTAACTTTTCAAATGCAAAAGAAGAGTTTTGAAAGTACCCCTTCATGGTACTCCTTATTATCCGTTAAATAGAGCATTTTTCATGTTAGACGACATTCCTTTTATTTATTTTCTAGTCAAGGAAGTTTATGTCATTTAAGGCATTACTCCTATTAATCATCGATCTCATCAATGTATTGCTAGTCATGTTGTGTAACAACCTTGACGAGATAAAAAAGCATATGATTTGGTTAATTAAATTACATAAATAAAATAAAGCATAAATTAAAGAAGTAAAATCTATGTTCACTCTCACTATTTTCTTCAAATTCTATAACCTTTAAGTATGGGACTCAGAAGACTTTTTGATTCGTCTTTCTTAGTGGGTTCGGACCCCATCCTCTAACATGCAATAACCTTAAGTTACCTTAACAAGTCATACATGAAGGATTAGGTAGATAACTCCTTACTAATTACATCCACTGCAATTCCTAATCTCATTGACATGACAATGCCCTGTCATATCATATTTTATGTGAATACCATTTTTGCCTATAAGTTTATTAGACCTTGAGTTATCTCAACGGACCCAATAACTCATTTTAAGTTAGACCCAACATCCAAGGATATCGCATGGCCTATGATTTGTTTCCCTTGAGCAAGAATTAACCTTGAGTTATCTCAACAAGCCAACAATGACTAAGAGAGTTCCCTCCTTATAAAGTTGAAAGGCATTGAACTTAATATTTAATTTGAAGGATTTGAATTTGGTAAGTATAATCCTAGCATGCTTCCTAGTTAATCACATTAGTCCTAACATGCATACTAATGTTAATTACATAAAATAAAGTTCATATATCTCATGCACGACACAAGGACTCGTGAATGATAATGGATCTCTAATACTAGCCCTCTCGAGCCATAAGGAGATTAGTGAGTCAAATATTTAGTTGAAAAATTATTACAAATTCTTTGGGATTTGTCTTCACTTCTTAACTTCTTCCTCTTCCATCTATTCTAATTTATATCTTCTACTTTTATATTTATTTGATAAGAAACCTTGAGTTATATTCGAAGAGAGTAAGATGAGGAGAGAAATACAATTGAGTATTACGGAAGGCGGGACGCATATGTCCTATTTATCTAAAAACAATTATAAACACTCATTCCCATAAACTAAGTCGACTCATCCATACCTTTCATCCATGCTTCAATCACATTGATACATGACATACTAATGAAACATATTTAATTCAAATTGCAATTATAAATCTATGTTTTGGTCACTTTATAAATTTATCAAAATTTCTCTAAATTTTAATTTGAAAACATTTCAAACCTTAGGCCCATAGGATTTTTAGGCCTCGAGGGCCCACGAGCTTCGATGCCCAAGCCCTCAACTTGGTATGCTCATGCACGCCCGCCCACTACCGGTAGACTAGTATGTGAATGTCTAACCTAAGTGAGGCATGCAAGCACTTGGCTTGCGTGCTTCACTCCCGAGCTTGGCATGTAACGTTTGACCTACCTCCCTAATATGTGGGCCTAGCTTGCAATGCTTAGTGCATAAGTGCCTAGCCTACACGCCTCACACATAGGCCTTACCTATAATGCCCGGTGTACAAACATCTAACCTATACCTCGCACACGAGCTTGGCATACGAGCATGCCCTATCATGTGACTATCCGGCCGAAAGCTTGGCCTACGTTGCACCTAGCAAATGAGCAGCCATGGGCTATCATGCGACCAGCCAATGGCCTTTATACGTGTGAGCACCAATATCTAACGTCGGCCTCGCGTGCCACCACTAATGTTTAATCCAAATTTTAGTTGTAAATTCATATAAAACACTAAAA